GTTGTCTGGGTGCCATGAAGCACAGTCTGGAAGGTTTTGAGAGGAATGAGCCCCTCACAACGCCGGAAAAAGGCCCTGCCCGCTTCTCTGTCTCAGGCGCCTTCAGCTACAGTGCAGGCGCAGGTATGCTGAGGCCCAGGGCTCAGTCAGTTGCGTGTCGTGCAGATTCTGGAGGGGTCCAGGGCGCAGGTTACTGGGACAGGGCACAGCCTGGCCAGAGGCAGCTCGGTCTGCCAGCCAGAATAAAAGGCTGGAAGGCCGGCTGACTTGCACAGCTGGCAAGCATGCAGCACTGCGCACGCTCAAGGGAGCCAGGCCAGGGAAGAAGAGGGACAGCGGCATCCATATCCAGGCTGCTCGCTCCACAGCTGAGTGGTGAAGTAGCGGTGGTCCTTGGGGAAGAAGGGACGCGCGGGCGATGGTGGAGGAGATGAGGGCAGTGTGACGAGCACGTATCTGGTGTTGAGGAAGCGGGTTGTTCGATCAGAGTCTTCAGGCGACATTGGGCTGATCTTCATGCGGACTTGTTGTAGAGATAGTAGGCCAGGTTGATAGGAGCTTGTGTCAGCCCTCTGGGTGGATAGACGCCAATAGGAGGGACACGTTGTTGTTGTATTGGTGATTTTTATTTTTTTTATTTTTTTTCTTAAAACCCAGGGTGTTGTAGAGGCCAAGGACCAGACCCGCGGTGATTGCTGGTAGCGGAAGCCAATGGTTGTCCTGACAGGATAGGCCACCTACCCTACCCATCCCCACATTAATACTCCCAGCGCACCCCCTGTCCCTACTATCCTACCTCGGTGTGACCAGCACTCAGGACCATCACCCTACAGTATTGAGGGCAACTTGGACCAGACAGCAGTGACAAGCACCAAGGCTGGGCCAACCTCCCAGCCCTAGTGGAAGCAGAAGCGGACGAACCTTGCCGTACGGGAACTTCGGACGCCAGGCTCATGCAATCTTCTACAGGCCCAATTCAGAGAGTCCACCCAGCAGGATTACCTAAGCAAGGCAGGCCAGCGCCCGCGGACACATCCTACCGTCCTTCCCCTAGCTTACCCAAGGCTAGGCGGAACTCGGACTAGCCGGAGTGACTTATATCCCTAACCTACCCTAGAGCTAAGCCATGCATGAGTAGACCGCTTCATATACCTGATAGACCCCCCCAGCCCAGTATCGTAGTTGTGTGTATATGTGTGCGGCTAGAGGCTATGTATGTCTGTATGAGCCCATAGGGCCATGTTTGTGTCTGCCTGAAGGCTATGTGTGCTCTGTGTAACTGTATAGAGAGATGTGTGTGCCCGAAGGCCAGATATGTGCAATACTATGTAGAGGGAACTATGTTTTCGTTTGAAGAGATGGCAGGCCAAGCTGGACAAGAACCCCCCCAAAGTCCCAAGCCAGACTCGAACCCGTGATCTATGACATGTGACCTGAAGACTCTACCATTTGAGCGACAATCGCAAACGGCCCCCGTGTGTGATATGCCAGACTGGGGAGATCAACAGAACAACCACGAGTAAAAGCCACAAGCAACCCACGCAGTATCAAGACCTGACATACAACACCATGGACAACCCTTGGGTGGTGTGCAGGCAGTGTCTGTATAAGCTTACCGTGCGTCAGCCCAAAGGGATGTGTGTCCAGCCGTGCATCATTCTAACGCCCTGTCGGTGTCCATGCGCAAGGCTGCAATTGAGTTTTGAACCCGCAACCTCATACCACTATGCGCATTTCCAACAGGTTCTCCAACCACTGAGCTACATCAACTGGACCAAAGGAAGGGTTTTCATCATCAAGAGACTTCAATGCTTTGCCTGTTCGTATTTGGTGTGATCTCGCTTGGCATTTTGCTTTCAGTTTCAGCTCAATGATATCTGGTCTTCTTTGATATGTTGCAATTTGGTTTATTCAACTTTATTGCTAATTGCGTTTCTCATTTCCTTGCAGTTTGGAAAAGGCTGTGGAAGGGTGATGTGGGCTCCAGTCACACTCTGAGCTGCAGACATTGTTTGAACTCTATCAGGTTTTGTCTCATTTTTGTAGTCTTAAGTCCATTTCCAATGGAGCTCCTGGCATTCAGAGTGTGATGACCCGTCCAAACATGGACCGAAACACACAGCTGATTTCTCAGTTTTGCCCATAGACTGAATGCCCTGCTGAGTTTCCCGCTTGCTACTAAGTCTGTGTGTGCACGCTTGCTGGACTGCATGCCTGTCTGAGTGCTTGTTGGCTTGAGTGTGTGTGTGGCCGTGCCTGTCTGAGTGCTGGTTGGCTTGAGTGTGTGTGTGGCCATGCCTGTCTGAGTGCTGGTTGGCTTGAGTGTGTGTG